CGTGTGTTCGTGCAGTTGCTCTATTCTGTTTTATCCCACCCATTTCTTCAATATCTTCTGTTTGCAGTGCAATTTAGCCTTGTTCCAAATTTGGTGGTGCTGGGATATAAAAATCTATAATTCCGATCGTGTGACACCAAAAGCCTGCATTGCATATTTATGCATATTTATACCACTATATCTCTCTGCTTATCAGGTCGGTTAACTTTATTCTCTGGTAGAAGGTGCTTTTAACACTTCGGCGACCGTGTTGTATTGCGTGCAGCTCCTGCGTAAACTGGTGTGTGTCATTTTGCGTCAGGTATCTCTTTCGAATCACGGTATAAAAAGCTCAAATCGCATGCGTTATATAGCTTTTATATCGATCCATACATAGGTCTTTAAACAATGTTTGCCTTCCATTTCCCTCTACCGCTCTCTCTCTGTGACAGCCACGACGTGCCCACCCATTTAGATATACTGTTTATTATCACAAGTTCTGGTAAGGACACTTAAGTCTCGTAAGTCTCATCTAACCCACCTACACAACATCAACTCAGCGTGATCATTCATAAATCGACTGGTTCCTAAGATCCTATCCAGCTGAATACACCCGGCGAATGATCTATTTGTGTTGCAAATACGCTTCCGGGTTACAAGTACATAATTGACTTAATAAACGATTACGAGAAACACAAGCCTGAAGAGCGTCAAGAACCGTGAGATCTGTCGGTTGCTGCCAGGGAAATTTCATTCGGTCATTCACATACTACTTATATGAGTGCATATATATGACCGGATGAACTACCTGGGAGCATAAATCAATTTTGTTGAGAAAATCTGTTACTGATTCTTTTATCTGCAATTACACGGACCGAATCGACGACCCGGTAATTCTTGTGATACACTAAAACGAGTAGGCATTGGGCACATAAAGATTGCTTACTTATTCAGGTGCATTACACACAATCTACTGATCACTTTGTCCGCATCGTCATTTATGCGGTCGAAAGCTTTTTGATATTTTAATTCATGTTTTTCTCGCTGTCAGCCTTTTCCATACCGATTTTCTTCGACTTAATCTTGTTTCCCGTCTAACCATACACAATTGGGTATTATTATTCATACCGATCTCAGTCTCCATCCTAGTTGGTTGTAAGTGAGTGCGAGTAAAGTAAGATGTATTGCGATATCCCGATTTCAAGGTGCGAGTGATAACAGTCAGGCTGGGGATAGGCCCCCCTCCTGGAGAATTTCTAAAATCAAACTATCTCTACACGTAGCTTCATAATGTGGACAGATCGATCCAAAACAGGTCCAAAGCATCACCAGCACCGTTTTATTCAGTCATTTTGATCGTCATCTACCACGTATTGATTGCTGCCAATACTCACTTGTATATAACGGTTGTGGCCCAGCCAATCCTCCAATAGTCAATCATTTGCATGGGTATATATATATCCATGAAAAGGATAAACATAATTATTCGTTGTGTGCGGTTAATTTATTTTTCCCTTACTCATCTGCTTGCACTACAGAAACAAGAAACTGGAATGCGTAAAATTGAAGTGTTGGACGTGAAGCGATCACAGGCAATCAATATCGGTATGAAGGTCCTTCCACCACCTCGAACGATAAGTACAGCCATTCTGAAAATGGACCCGTCCATCATCAATCGGGAAGGCATTGAGGTAATCATGTTTATTCTCCTCTCCCCCCCATGCATCTGTTCTTGGACACATTGAGTCGAGTCCATAAAAACATTAAAAAAACTTTCAATGCAGTTTGTTCGGGGTGTCGTTTTGAGTTGGTGTGCATCATATCGTAAGCGATACGTCCTGGGCGAGGATCGCAAACAGAACAGTCGCGGGTTTCCTGGGTTAACCGAACACGTTAGTTCTCCGAATCACACAGCCGTTTGTGTTGGCTTTTTCTGAAGCACCTCTAGACAAAGTCCCCATTTTAACTGATTGATTATTTTTAGTCTGTTTCAGTCACCTGTTGACGGCCCTTTCCTTAGAATATCCCTCTCAATTTATTGACCTCGGTGACAGCTCAAACCGAAGCTGATTCCCTGGGGCATCATGATGCCCTCCCAGATTCAATTAGTGCTCCTCATGTTTTTCTTTAAAACTCCCTTGATCCCTTTCGGGATATTTTCGACATCATCCTTGTCGTTTTTTTGCCCAGGTCTTCCTAAGTGGTTCGCGCCTTCTGAGCCAGTCGCCCTCCTGAGTCCTTGTGGGGGTAGTTTCGTTTGCAGTACGCTCATTGTTTGCTTTGTAATTGTTCGCTGTGAACAACTGACTAAAGCATAATGTCGACCTGTTGGAGCAGCAGAGTTTTAAATCATGGACGACCAACTTTTACGAAACACAGAAATATCTGTTCAGCACTTTCTAATGAGTACAGCGCAGCATATATTTAAGGGACACTGTGAATGGTTTAAGTTAACATGTGACGGAGCGTTCAGAGTCCGTTGTCGAATGTCATAAACCTGCCTTTAAGGGGTTAGTCAATGAATTCTATCCACAGCCAAAGTGATAACGATCGGGACACATCGTCCAATCTTCCGTCAACAATAATAATAATTCTTCAGGACACGTCATCTTTCTCGGGCAAATATCAATGGGGATGTGAGATAAACAGTCAGCATTTTCAAACCAATGAGGAGAAAGGAACAGGCTTGCTTTGTTTGTATTTTTTACCTCGCATGTCAGTGATCTTGATTTACCTCTTCTCCTTTCCTGAGTACTGGTTTTTGTTGTCATTTATGCGCAATAGAAAATAATGAAAGATTGTCACTAATCCGTTGGTATTCGGAGTGTTGGATCATGAACACGATCAATAGAAGAAGTTATGCTATTGTGATGGGCGGTGGCGATCTGGTCTCTCAGGTTTTCAATTCTTGTACATATTTTTGTGAATATGTCGCATAACTTTGATACTTTTCCTCCGCCTATGATAATCAAAATGAGAAAGCAGAAACATAACTGTATTTTATTGTTAGTTTCTCCAAGTCCAGTTACTTTATAGTCTCATTCTCTGTGTTCTTACGAACACAGCTGAAATGACATGAATATCATGCCTTTGCAGTGTTCACTGATCAGCACCATGTTTTGGCACCGTAGATCTGGGTGCAAATAATCGAACACCGATTTTTCCGTGCTCATGAGGCGGGATGAGCGGGAAGGAGGGGTGGGGGTGGGGGTGGACGCGATAGGTCAGTAAGCGCAGTGAGAACAAAACTTCGATGGGCCACGTCGAGAGCACAGACGACGATAAAAACAATGGGTCTCTCACTCGATTCACGGATGCACTAAATATGCATTGCCATCTTCAAGCACACAGATTGTGATTTGTAAGACATTAAATATAGACAGACATTTTAGTTACCGTGTGTGTGTGTTAAGGCACGACGACAAGAGAATAAGAAAAACAATTTCATTGGCAAACAACACCGTGACAGTCGTTAAGAAACATTAGTAAGTGTAGAACTGTGAATAGGACGGTTAGGGGCACTTTGTAGTGACAGCCAAAACAAGGCGTAGTAATTACTTTCCAATGAGGTATAAAATACAGAGGAGAACCAGTGGAAGTGAATAATTTGATCTTGACAGTCAGAGTATCAGAGTATCTGTGAACTGACTTGCTGGCTAGACGATTACGTCATCCTAGCGATCCTCACACAGGAAATGCCGTTCAACTTACTATCGGTAGCTTAGGAATTCGCCGCTAAAATTTATTACTCTTAGCCTTTCCCATATTGCATTAATGTGTTATAAACACGTGATTCGGTTCTCTCGACAATCCTTTTCCGTGAAAGCGTCGCCGATATCATCCCGGTCGCTTGGAATAGTACAAAAATTAAAATCAAAGTGATTCATTGATTGTACATGCCATTCAATTCCTCCTTTGTTCATATTCTTCATAAAACCAAACTGTTCTCCGTTTACTCGCGTTCCTGTCCTCGTTCCCTTGATTAGAAACATTCACTTATGCATCATTGGCCAATTTCGAAATTCACTCAATACTGAATGTAATCTGTAATATTTGTATATTTAAAAATTAGTTTATTAGCCTAAATATGTTCATGGACAAATTACACATGTACATATAAACTTGATTCCAAAGCCGATTGAAAATGACAAAACATATTTTAATTTAACTGAATACGTCTGTTCTCTTTTTCCTAGAAATTGTTAACTTCCATGCTACCCACCGAGGAAGAGTGTGACGCCATCCTCAAAGCTAAAGCTGAACAGAACGGATTGCCTCTGGGACAGGCGGAAGAATTCCTCATCACTTTGTCCGAAATCACACATTTGAAACCCCGACTGGAACTGTGGCTTTTCAAATTAGATTATGATACTACTGAAAAAGAAATAGCCGACTCGCTAACAGATTTGAAGCAGGTTTGTTTCAGATGATTCTTCTTGACTGTTTTCTATTCCTCGCTTGATGCTGTTCCGTTTTGTCCTTATTCTCTGATTCATTCTGTGGCTTGTCTGTTATTTGCTCATCCCCCCTCCTCGATCTTTGAATTGAATTGGTCGTTATTCTCAGCCGATTATTCCTTTCTCTCTGTGAAGAAACGAGTAATACACTGATCAGTCTGAGGCGTCATTCAATGTGGCTGTCAATTCCGTTTAGAAACGTATGTGAGGAATGTCGAGGCGGGTAGGGTATAGAAACACCTCACTGAGCTCCGACATCGATCACGTTATTTATCACACGGTGGCATCTGATGTCTGTGTACTTTTAATCGCCTGGGTCGGTTTCCGAGCCTTGTATTTTCAACAGACATACTCCACAGGGAACGAAAATATTTCCTATATGTGTGATTCAAAACTTATCCGTGTCACTTTGCTTGAATTCAAGAAAGGGAGATAAGTACAACTCCAACCGGGATGCCAGTATCTGAGTTGTGATTGAGTATCAGCGGTGAATAAAATTCACAGACTGTGGTCCCAACGCATCCGATTTCCATTGATATGACATTGAAGTCAGTTGTGTGGATGCGTTTTTATTGGCTCGATTTCCCAAGCATAAGAAGACAAGGCAACAATAAAAATTTTTACTGAGCAGATCGAAGTCTTATGTTGATATTGTGAAATGTTAAGTACCCTCCGTGGGATTCGAACTCACATATGGACCCTGCCTACGCTTGTGTGCAGCACACGCTCGACCAGCTGAACTACGAGGCCATACCGACGACACTGATCATTTCACATTCGAATTACCCATCCAACTTATAGAGGTATGTGACATCCGCCAGTTAGTCAAAGAACCCTACCTTAGAAGTTCATTCGGTGGTCTCCAGAGAATTCTCAAGAAAACCTGTCGTAACAGTAAAACTGCTTACAGTACATATTTTTCCTATGATAGGTCTACGTGGTGAACTCCGCTTCGAATAATCCTAATAACAACGTACTACTCGACGGGTTTTCTTCAAGAATACACCTGTAGCCTCAACACAGTCAATTGCTGACTGAAGGGAACCAGAATTAGATGTCGACCTAGAAACATGTTGCTCGCTTCTAAAATTTGATGCATAGTAAATGTTTGCCAGGAGAAAAATTTGCACCCACTTATCCCGTCAAGTGATGCTCATCTAAGTGCTTTTACTACCTAAGTAGTTCTTTTACTTTCCGCGATCTCCAATAGTCTGGTAACGTCCAACTCCGCTGACTGTACGCTTGTCGTATCGTATAATAGAACTGTCGGCCCCGTTGGCCAGATGCTTTTTATATCGATGCATATATTAAGAGAAACATACTTAATTCATTAGCACTCGAAGAAATTGATTGACACTTAACAGTGTCTCTGTAAAAACACTTCATGGTAAATTTACTTTGAAATGTGAAATAAATTTAATGTGTTGTTTGTCCAATTTATCACAACTAATTTCGTTCCCTTTGTCTGTTTCACTAATTCTTCTGTTCACTATCGAGGTAGATAATCAATCCGGTGGTAAAAATGATCCATCGTCATAGTTTACTGATCCACAAGTAATATTTTAGTCACGGTAGTGTTAGAAATATCTAAATGAGACGATTTCATTTACGAATTCCTCAGCAAGTTGTAGAAAAAAGGGGGTTCGCATGAATTAATTTAACCCATTTCTTTTAAATTGTTCAAGACACTTGTTACTCTAACTATCACTCAGCGGTCTTGCCATTGGGAGGGGGTTGACAATTGTTGGTAGATGCACTGGAAGGAAATTCCCCAGACACCTCTCCTCGTTTTTTATTTGGTGTCCGTATGAACAATCTACATCCAAATCCCCAATGGTTTAATAGCGCCCGTCGGTTGACAACAGTTCGGACAATATGTTGAAACAAATTAAAAAAACACTTCTCATAGGGTTTGGTCCAACACACTTTCTGCTTTATTGATCTACCATTTGATCGTTACGGTCACAAATGATAATGATCATGACAAACTGTATCCATCAATTGCTCATGGCAGAGAACTACAGTTTTCCCACCACTAATACTCTGGAGACTTTAAGTGTAGCTGTATTTCACTTCTCACAGTGTGTCATGGCCTTCTAATGGTGGAACCAACGGAATACAGTTTGGTCTTTACTTTCATTATCACTGGCGATCTTATTTAATTGGATTTGTAATCTGGATAGACACCCATAGCTCTGTTGTCCTACTTTTCATTAGAGATCTGCGTATAAATTGTGACCATTTGCAGCTCTACGCAATACAATGACCTCCTTAGCATCTTTCGCTTGAGGTTCAGATTGTCTATCTTTGTCTGCTTCCGTTTCACTTTAGGGCGTCATGGAGGTGATCAACTGCAAAACACTACGTTACGTCATATCAACCTTGTTGACCATGGGCAATTTCCTCAACGGGACCAGTTTTCGTGGATTCACATTGGATTATTTGACCCGACTGCCAGAGGTGAAAGATACGAAAAACAAGAACAGTTTGCTGTATCACATTTGTTGTATTGTGTTGGATCAATTTCCGGACAGTACCGGTAAGTGTTTTTCGGCCTTCCTACTCCGCCTAAATAGTGATCAGCACGCAATAAGCTATCTCGTTCGAGTTTGCCAGATGTGTGTGTGTGTGTGATTATTTTATGATACGCTGTTGAAATTTGGAATTTTTATTTGTTTCTTGTTTGATATCCGACGAATATTGAGACGCATTCCGCCGGTTTGGGTCTATATGATTTTAACCCTATGATCCCGGTAATACTCTAATGAAATGATTCAATCGCACATCATCGGGTCACGTGTTCTGTTCGTGAGCTTCACCGTTTTTTCATTCGCGTAAGATACTAGACTGGAAATCATTTTAAAATCATCCGCCGTGTGTAGCGATGCTTACATCAAACGCGTTTACTATTATTGTGATTGTCACAGTCCAAAACTGCCTACTATCTCTGTGAGTCAGCGCTACCCAAAGCTATACTGTCAATCAATTCGGATTTCCCCAATACGAGTAAAAGTTTTGATTGTATGTAGTGTATTTTCAATAGGCGGGTGGTGTACCAATATGTATACGGAAATAAAATTTTTCCTTCTCAATGGTAAACTTGGAGTTCAATAAAAGTTGGAATGGTGACCGCAGTGCAAACGAGGCACGCGACGATCATTCCTGCTCCCAGTGGCATAGATTTGTAGCTTATGATAATAAATAGGAGCTTTGGATATTGGAGACGAATGCGGATATCTCAATACATTCGAACATCAGCTCGTTCCAGTATGAATTAGTGATTTCCATCAAGCTGCTTCTGCCGTGACCGTCACACCCGCTTCTTTTCTGTTGCTAAAACTTCGTCTACACGAACAGACTGGATTAAACTGTTGAGATCCGATGACATGTCTCAGTGGTGCTCGTGCATCTACTCAACCGTAGCCTTCATGAATTCTCTTCTTTTTAACTCTGACACTAATTTGAACTTTCCAATCTTTACTCTACTCCTTGTTCCAAAAGGGCAGTCATGAGACAGCAACCAGAATTGGCACACAAAAGCGTATGGTGAATGGTTATAAAAACTGAACTGAACTGAACTTTTTATGAATAATTGTTAACTCAGTTCACCGGGTAATTTGAATATTCAGTCAATAAAGCAGGTGGCTTAATGGTGGAGGCAGACAGTGTTGCACGGTTGTATATCTAAGCGGAGATCAATTTCAACAGACTTCAAGTGCATTTTGTCTGTGAAACCTTATTAAAATGTATGGAATCCGTGACATGTGTACCTGAACTGATTCGTCAGTCTATCGTTTCGGTTGTTGTTACAAGTCGACTTATACCACATAAACGCATCCACACGAAAACGAAGTTTACTATTGTTAATTCCCCAGTAGAACCAAATGTTGACTGGTTTACTATGGTTCACGTTCATTTCAAATAACACGATAGCACGAAACAGTCGAAACAATTTTTACAGAGTCATTCAGATAACTCTGCAAAAATTGTTTTGGGATGCAACGGATAGCGGCAGACTTAGGTTCTGTGCGGTATGACGCAGTAATGCGTTCAACCGCGGATATACTACCTCGAAATTGCGACAACAACGACAGTAATAATAGAGATTTGGGTGAAATTGAAGAAAATATGAGGAAACCAACGAAAGACAATCAAGCGGACAAAGGGAAGAATGAAAGTTCTTGTTTCATTGCGGTCAGACTCGCGTTGTAGTTGCGTCTTACATTGATGTGATTGGTGAAGCCAATCAGGAGTGAGGTATGTGCGTGTAATGTAACGAATGCTCATGAATCTATTGTGTACTTTCCCCCCTCTAATATGGAAACTGTTTTAGCGGCTGTAGTCGAGTTGAGTGTACTGTAAAATATCACTTTGAAGGCGAAAAAGACATCTGACCCAGCGTGAGAATGAGGTTTATTGGTTTCCGCGATCAAAAATTGCAATTTGTGAACCGCTTGGAAGCGAATAGTTAAATGGAGTATGAATACATGAGTGGAAAGCGCATTAGCCCAAGGTCATTGGATTGTGCGGGACGTGCCTTGAGCCGGTGTTGGTGTGTCTGTTTGTTTGTG